TTTTCTCTTACTATAACCACGGAACGAAATGTGATGGATTCTTTTATGCTTCCACCGCATGGCTAGAACTAGAAGTCATCGTAATTACAAAACGCAAATGAATATTTGTTTACAAAATAAATCAACTAAGTTTCGCTTGAATGAAAATAATTTTACAAATTTTATCGTGTTTATGCGCTATTATGTGTGTGTGGCATATACCTTGGGGGAGGCCTATTTTTAGCAGTGGGCTTGGCTGTAATGATGATGATGATGATGGTGCGCTAATATTGTTTTTACTCCCTTCATGAACACCAGTGTAAAGTTTAATGCTGCTGTGTTTCGTGAATGTAGACCGGACTCTTTTCACTGGCAACGAGGCCATTTCATTTCTTTCCATCTTAGGCTTCTGGGATGACAACGCATCTGCATTTTGATTCTAGATAGTATATTTATTTGGGCTGTTAGTATGAAGTGATTAAATGACCATTATTCATAATGCCCAGGTAATATGAATAATGCTCAATATGAGTAAGCAAAAAAACTATTGGAAAAATTTAATTGACCGGGATTTCTTAATCAAGCCCATTACTTATTGGGCAGAGTAATAAAAAGATGTAAGTTCTATTCATACCATAATCGGACGATAATTTTTTTTATATATACGATTTCATACCCTATGATTTATTTATTTTTGTTTGTCCGATTTATTCAAAATTATAAATATTTTATTCCGACATTTATTCCGACACTTCAGATTACAATACAAATTAATAAACAAAATGAAGTCGAATAAGAATAAAATAAAAGAAATAAAAATACAAGAAATTTATAAACCAAAAAAAGTAGAGGATAAAATTAATAATCGAAACAGATGAAGTGGCGGAAGGGACCGCCTCAGCATAAGCCGCGGGATAGCGACGCTGATTTTCAGTCGGCCCCATACGGTCCTACGGAGACCGTGCCGAAAGTGTTGACATTAAGCGAGTAGTAGTAGATACATATGATAATAACAACTGATGAATGTTAATAACAAAATGGAAAATACGTATTGTATAGTTGTGCTGAACGTAAGTTGCTGAACGCTACGTGAGACGTGACGGGAACATTAGTAAGTGCAATAATTTAATTTAACAGTGTATATTATAAAATTATATATACATATATATATATACACATATATATATACACATATATATATATATATACATATATACGTACACGTGCATACATACATATACATAGATACATACGTTTAATAGGCTTTTTTGTAATAAATAATAATATGTAATAGCATAATAAGTAATATGTAAACGGAATATCAGTAGCTAACGTCTAACCTCTTTAAAAATACTCCTATTTATTAATATGCCCTTCTGTTCGTTTATTAGGAGATATTTTAAGTGCTTTCTAAACGTGCCTAATGTGTTTAGGTCACGCAGTGGAGGAGGTAGATTATTCCAACAATGGGAGGCTGCGTACTTATAACAACCTCGAAATGCTGAAGAAGAATGTCGCGGAATACTGAGCCTATTATAGGATGAAGCGCGGGTGAGATACTTGCTATGCTCGCGAGACCAGTCTAACTTACTAAAAAGATACTTTGGTTTTTTTGTCTTTATGACGCCAAAAAGTGCACAAGCTAAGTGAAGTTTGCGTCTGGCAGCCATTTTAAGGATATTATTGTCGTCAAGAAATGGGCTTACGTGACCTCTTGGTGGTACATCGAAGCAAAACCTCGCACAAGCATTTTGGACCCGTTGAATAAGGTGTGCGGTACGTGACAGTAAACAAGGCCCATAAACCGTATCAGCATAATTAAATTTTGATAGTACTAGGGTGTCCGATAGTCTTTTTCGTAATTCTATACTTAAGTGTTCACGCATTCTGTACAGGATTTTTAACCTATAAAAACAGTTCTTATGTTATTGATATAATCTTGAAATCTGAGATCAGGGCTAATTATGATTCCTAGATTACGTGCCATATCGACTCTTTCTAATACCGTACCTTTTATATACAGTGTTGGGACAAATTTATTTAATTTTTGAATCTCTTGTTTCGTTCCGCAAATTAAAAACTTTGTCTTTGATGGGTTCAACACTAAACAGTTTCTTTCTGACCACTTTACTACTTTATCCAAATCCTCGTTGAGTTCATTAATAGCTTCTGTAGTATGACTAGGCTTAAAAGACTAATAAATCTGTGTGTCATCTGCAAATAAGTGATATTTACAATATTGGAAACAATTACTAATGTCTGATGTATATAGCGCGAAAAGTACGGGACCCAAAATCGATCCTTGAGGAACACCACGCGTGATCCGCTGCGGAGAAGATACACAGTTTTGACCATTTAATTGAATTGTAATTTGCTTTGAACGTCCACTAAGGTAACTGTGAAACCATTTTATAGTCCTGGGGTCAAATCCGTAAAACGACATTTTGGACAAAAGTAAAGATGTATTTATGGTATCAAAAGCCCTAGAATAGTCTAATAGGACGAGTATAGTCCCCTGACCTGTATCTTGGGCCTCCAATATATTACCTACTACATCAGATAGGGCAGTAGCAGAACTTCGTCCCTTTCTGAAACCCGATTGAAGATCAGGCAGTATAGCATTATTTTCTAGATATGAAATTAATTGTTGATACACAACTTTTTCTAATATTTTAGATATACAGGGTAGCAAACTTATGGGCCGTAAGTCTGTCACGGTAGCAGGATTAGCATTTTTTGGAAGAGGACGTATTAAGGCTAGTTTCCAGATGTCAGGGAATGTACTTGTAGTTATCGATAGGTTAATCAAAGCGGTAATAGTTTCAAGACTTTGTGGGAGGGTCATTAACAACATATCTAGGTTAATACCATCAACTCCCAGAGCATTAGATTTTAGTTTTTTAATTATATTCAAAGTAATATCTTGAGATACCGGTTTCAGCAAAAAAGTTTTAGATGTAAATCTATTAAATTCAAAATATGTAAGATCCGATATAGTTACGTTATAGGAACCTGGTATATTTGAAAAATGTAAATTAATAGTATCAGGATCCAATAAATGTGGCGGTAGGTCGTATTCGTTTTTCGGTGGTAACGAGTACGCCTTCAAATTTGACCATAGCTTCTTTGGATTGCTGATATTATTATTAATGAACACTTTGTAATATGCTTTTTTCTCGTGGTATAGTGCGACATTTACTTGATGTTTTAATTGTTTATAATAATTTTTATGACTGGGCGACTGCGAACATCGATATTTGTTGCGTGCTTCATCGCGTAAGCTCATCATTAATTTTATGGTTTTGGTTATCCAGGGGCAAGGGCGATCCTTAAGTATAACTGTTTTAATAGGTGAATGCAAGTCAAATAAATTTAGGATATAGCGATTAAATAAGTGTACCATTTCATTGACATTATCGGTACAATTGATCACATCCCATGGGATTATCTGGAGGTCTCGTTCAAAATAATCAAGTAGGATATCATTTAGGGGGCGATATACTAGCGTCCGAGGTAGTATTTTGTCTATTTTAAAATGTAACTCGCATGTAAGAAAGGCATGATTACCTAAGTCAGCTATATGATCAATTGTGACATTTCGTGTTGGCGCATCAGTACAGATAACATCTATTAGAGTTTGACTAGTTTCGATAAAATGTGTTGGCTTATCTATTAATTGTTTAATATTAAAATAATTTATAAATTCCATAAAACGCTTGGTCTTCACATCTTCTGTGTCAATTAAATTAATATTAAAATCTCCCAAAATCAGAACATAATCGTGCGAAAATGTGCTAAGGCTGTCAGTTATAGCATCAAGAAATAATTCAATGCTAAGCCATGGTGGGCGGTAAGCCGTGCCTATCACAATTTTTTTTTGAGTTTATATGCAGGGCTAGCCACATCTCTTCTACACAGTTGTGGTGAGAAGTAGATATTGTTCGGGCATTGATTCCTTTTTTGAAGTAGAAGCCTACACCCCCCCCCACGGCCACCGCACACAGAGTGGGGTCTCGGCACGTGACGCAGGCGGTAACCAGGTACGAGCGGAGCGCGCCCATCTTCGCCTTCCCGCAGCGAGGTCTCATTTATCGCCATGAGATCAACATCATGTCGACTCATGGCTACGAGGAATTCCTCGTGTTTCGTACCCAATGAACCCGCATTAAAGAAACCAACTTTTAATTCTTTAACCTTAATCATTGCTAACCGAATTACCACTAACGTTGGCCGAACAAAAAGATTTGTCCATTGTTAACAGATAGTAATGTGGTAATAATGAGTATAAAATACCAAATAAGGTTTTTCTAATTGTAACAAATATTATATATTGTAAATTTAATCTTATAAATAAATAGTATATCTCAGGATTTACGTATAATAAATGAATATTATTAAGACATGATGTATGTTTACTTTGTACACTAAACTGACAACACGTTACATATAAATTATATATTGACAAGACATTATGTATAAATTTTGATAGATTACATTTATTATTATTGAATATTAAGGTTATTTCTTTCCGAATGTTAAAATTATTTACGTTAAAAATATAAAAATAAAAATATGTGTGTTTATATATATATATACAAAATTAAAATTGTGTTTATGTAAGTGGAGTAAAAAACGTAAGGAACTGTTTACCACTAATGACCCGGAAAAATATAGTAAAGTAAAATTGCGATTACTCACGGTATGAACACTTTTGTCAGACACACAAATACTGACGAGACAATGAAAATTACACTTAAAGATTTCATGCGTGATGAACATGTATACTGATTTACATAAACCAAAATAGGCTGAATTAAAACTTAACAATAAACCCTTTGAAAAGCAATATATTATATTAAGTTGATGTATAGTAATATGTATACACTTACTGTATGTAATTGTTATTATGGAGACTAACTTATAAAAGAATATAAATATTGTTTTAGCAAACCTAATTAAGCTATCTCTAACATAAGAGGTAGGATAATAAAAAAGTAATATTAAAAAAAGTAAATTAATAGCTAACGCATGATTAACAAAAAAACACGCTTAAGGTCTGCTTCGGACCGAATTCGCGTTACAGGCTTTCCATCTTCCTTTCTCACAAAAATATGACCTCCCTTCGTCCAAGTATAACGCCATTTTGCTTTTTTCGCTGCCTCGCGAGTCTTACCAAACAACTTCCTATTCAAAGGTGTTAACCACTCATTCACGTAAAACCGACGCGGCTCACCGGGTAACCCCAGTGACTCAGTGGTTACTGTCCGCTGAACACGCGCTGAACGTAGTAATTCATCTCGCAGCGCTCGCCGGCTCATTCGCACCATAATTCTACGTGGTCCCAAACGAACTTGTTCTTGAGAGCTACTCGTATTAATGTCGTCAATAGATTTGCGTAATATTCCGACACGCTCGGCATGAACAATTTCACGGTGGTCAATATCAAGGCCTAACTTTCTAGCACATAGTATCACAGTGTTAATCGCTACTTCCCCCTTTTGTTCCGGTAGACCTGAGATTTCTAAGTCATTGGCTAACAGATCCTGATCCCTCTCGCTTAGTTGGATCCTTAATTCTGCTATTGTGTTCTCAAGCTCCATGGACTTACATTTGTGCTCACGATCTTCCATTCGGTTCTCCAACTTCGTGACCCTAGTGTCAATTTCTTCCAAATTTTTATTACACACGAGCATTGTATCCCTTAACATGGCGAAATTGTCCCTGATATCCTTCAGCTCATTGCGCATTTCACTGAGCTCATTACGTAACAGGCGTATTTCTAGGCATATGCAATGTCTTTGTAGACGGGACTATTATCTCCAACATCCTGACACTTTACCGGTGTATTAGAATTGTCCCCCGCACGAGGAACTTTACTCTTACAAGTTGGGCACATCCAGGAAGTTGATATCTTTGCCTTTTCAGATAAGTTAAGGCAGCCTCGATGATATGTGGCATCACATTTGCCACACGTAACGCCATCTGTCACCGATAGGTAGCGGCCGCATGCTCCACACTTTGCCATATTATTGATATATACAAAGAATATTAATCTATGCAACTAGTGGCCACCAGATGGCGCAGAAGGGATTATATCAATTAATATCAATATACTAAAAGTTAAAACTTAGTTTTTTATAAGTAGATTAATAATATTCCAATTCGTTAGATACACTGGTAATTAAATGTTTTTCAAATTGTAATAATATATGGAATAAGTTTGTAAGTTCGGACAAATCAATATCTTTGCTACACAACAACAATTAAAGGGTACTTTTACACTGATTGTTTCCTTATTTACACTTTTACCTTTGATTACTTTTAAATTACACCACACTAATATTCAGTATCTCAAATATTTGTTATATTAAGCACATATATCACTTTTGTAAATTTAATATTTAAATAAATCCAATTAAACTCGATTACTTTAAGAGCACAGTAGGTACTACTCGCTGTACCGACTACCGCCCGATTTATTATATATATCTATCTATCTATATATATATATATATATATATATATATATATATATATATATATATATATATATAAGTATATATATATATATATATATATATATATATATATATATATATATATATATATATATATATTAATATACTCTAATACTAGTATGATTAATCTATTTGCGTCTAATTTACCAATCCTCAATATCAGTGACAGTAGGTTAATTTGCGGTTGGGTGGCCCTCGAGCTACCCTAAAGCTGCGTATATTAAAATGATATAATTGTTAACCATAAATAAATAAAAATATAATATAGAAAGAAAACAACTTTTTAATTTTAAAATTAGCACGAAAACGCATGTTTTATTTACTTATCTATTTTATATATATTTATATATCTATCACTTATCGTATTGATAATTATTTGTTAATTATGCGATTATCGTGTGATTGACAAATTAATTTTTCAATAATTTTATATTATTAGTATTATTGTCTTAAAAGTGATTAACATGGTTAGATTTGGCTAGGTAAAGTTATATCAAATTGCCGAAAAGTTACGTAGCAGTATTTATAATGAACAGACATTGTGATAAATAATTTTAAATCAGTATTAATTACATAGCCCGATTTGACTTGCCATTATTCATATGGTCTGGGTATTATAAATAGTGCCCTTATTAATGATAGTAAAATTAATAATAAAATAATTAATCACTTGGTTCATAACAAGGTCACAGCAACCACTGTGTCTACTTTTAACCTATAAAAATATTGTCCTTTATTAAGAATTATCAATATGTTCAAAACACTGTTAGATTAAGATTTATTTAAAATTTCATTGAAACTCATGAAAGACATTAGGTAATTAAAGCTCGTATATTGTATAATTAACAAATGTGGTTGTGTTTCTCAACCAACGTGACTTAAATTTAATAAGAACTCAAACGAAGTGCTAATATATTATTATGTGTGCAATGTTATATTTTGCTATGATTTTGTTTACTTATTTAGATTTAAATTTTAGTTTATTCAACTTTAAGTAAAAGTGAAATTCGATGTTTTGGTGTATATAAAATTTCCAGTAATATAAGGAATCATCAATTTGTTTGGTTTTTGAGTAGCTTTTCTTATCTTTCCCTTTCATAATAATTAGTACGTACACCACTGTGGTCATGGTAATATTAGTTATTGTGTTATTAGTTATTAGTATTATTCATGAAACCATTATCTCACGTATATACATTTAAAAATCAAAATGCAGATGCGTTGTCACCCCTGGGACAAAGATGGAAAGCTTTTCACACAATTCTTTAAACAATTAACAAATTTATTAGTATTTACCACAAGTTTTAATGAAAAGTACTAAACATTTGATAAAACAATTTTTACGGATTTAATTGATTTTAATATACTTATTTGCTTACTTTTAACTGCTGGCATTTCGGTTGCTTTACAACACCCGTGGTCGTGTAAAGAACCCGAAAAGTCGGGAAAGAAAAAGAGGTACGTTAAACGCGATAAAATTCGTAAAAATAGTTTTATTTTATGTGTAGTGTTCGCGTAAATATAAGAAATCATTAAGCATTTGATAATTCAATAATATCAATGTTGAAATTAAACTAAAACGGTAACTTAGTTCAAGTTTTCTTTTAGAGAAGATAGGGCAAAAGACACCGCATTATTCAGCCACCGTGATCGAGGTGAATATGTAATACCAGAGGAATTTCAATACTGCTGCTAATAGTAGATTCATAGTCGTCGTTAAAAAATCATAAGAAAATCCTGTAAGAAAGCGCGAATAACCACTATCTGAATTGTAAGAGTCAGTTCCCGCGTGACATTTATGACGTTCATCGAAAAATCTTGCCCTCTCTATTAGATCCTATTTACATATCTTCATCGTTTGCTGTTCTAGACGTGCGCCTCTAGTCTATAATATATATATATATATATATATATATATATATATATATATATATTATAAACTGCCCGATAGTTATATATCATTCCAGCAATCAAACTATGTTAAATAACTTTGTCAAGTTTACAATATTATCCAGTAACAAAAGTATGCATAATCTGTAACGTTTTTTTATTTACTCTTTCCAGCGCAACTTAATACGAGTAATAAATTTTAGTATTATAATATCTAAAATTTACCGTCACCGAGAACGGTAGGCAGAGACTACAGACTTCCATATGTCACAATCCTGACACAATTCTTTCGCCTCTTCCACATCTTATTTGGTCGATAAACTTCATTGTGGAGTGTGTTAACTCGCTTATTTAGTGAATAGTTTTATTTTAATGTTAGTTAGTTAGAGGAAGATGTAAACAAAGGTCCTTTTACGGTTGTATATTGTCTCCTTTTCAATGATTATCAAGACTTATTTAATGTTTTAGCCGTGGAAAGGTAATAATTTTTTTTAATTATCATCACATCAGTATTAATTCCAGAGGTGAACATTGGCGTATATAACGATATAAGAAGACCTTACCACTTGACACTTGATTTTTGAGGTCTAGTATATTGGACTATAAGAAACTTTTAAGAATTTTAAATTTTAAACTATAAGAATCTTGCGGTTCCCTTTATGGCACCCCTCACGGGCGGCGGTTGTCACTTACTACCGCTGCCCATTAATAATCGCTACACGAGGGGAATTGCAGGTACGTCACCAGCCTTTAAGAAAGGAATAAGCTCTTTTATTTATTTCAGCCAAAATTTCGGACGGTTATTCAATTTTTACGGCAATGAAAGATTGACTATTGGTAAATAAAAGTGGGGCAGCGTATGTAAGTACCTATCGCAGTGGGTTTTTTATCTTGTTTATTGGTGATCTGCAGTCAACTTCAAAAAATAATAATTTTATCCTCTTTATTAGCACATAAAAATCCACAACTTGAGCTCCTAGTCCCAGCAGCGACCTGGTATAGGACTTCGCCACCGACTACGTTTTAATTGTCCCCGTGATCCCACAATAAACACCTCAGCAGTGCGACCACCCAAAAGTGCAGAGGACGGCAAGTAGTGCCTTACCATACCAATACTCTTCTTCCCCCCTGACTATGGAATACTTCCTCCCCCCTGCGGGAGAATAGATTGAGAAAAAACTCTCACACAAAAATCCACCTGAGTGGGCTTGTCAAGCCCATAGATAATAAGGAATACCAAGACGAGGAGGCCTTTTAATTGGATTTCTGTGATATAGTCACGTCAGTAGCATCAATAAATTCATTCTTTGACACCGTGTAGTGGCTGTCGTAAGAGTAAGCTGAAGTAAACTAAACCACAAGGTGGGCAGCGGCATTTTCCTGATAACATCTGAATAAAAAAACTGCAGTTGCCAACGCACTTGCCAAGCGTGGCAACTATTGCAAATATCCCTTCTATGAGGTAATGTGGGGGGAGGCCTTGTTCAGGAGTGGACTTTTGATAGGCTGTATTGGAAATACATTCATTCAGTACAGCCCGTCAAAGTACACACAAGAGTGTGTAATTTTGCGTAGTCCTCTCCTATATATTGCTTATAGAGATAAATATTTGATTAAAACTACTTTTACGGATTTTGTCGCGTTTATTTTTACTTTTTATTTTTAATTCCCGACGTTTCGGGCGCTTTCCAGCACCCATGGTCACGGGGGACTGAGATGACTGACGTTCCGATGTCATTGTTAAACCCGGAGTACCTTCAGCTTTTTTTAATTATTGTTTATGGTCCGATCTATGCAAAATGAACTGACTATGTCCTGAGGTCTTGCAGTGGTATGCTTGGGTTTAGTTTTAATTTTATTGATTATAGGATCCCAAGCAGGTGGTAGTACCCAGCCTCCTTCTCTATTGAAATTAGGATGTTTTTTAATTTCAATAGCCTCACGTATCATCCTTGGTAGAAATCGGTGTTCTTTCACGAGGATTTGTGGTCTATCAAATCTGATGTAATGGTTGGGGCCGTCTAGGATATGATCACAGGAAGTCTGCAGTTTGTGATCATATCCTAGACGGCCCCAACCATTCATCATGTGCAATGTTCGCGTAAATATAAGAAATCATTATGAGATAAATATTTGTCAGTGACACCGCTTGGCAGGCGAATTAACGACCGTTTCTTTAATTTATTAACTTCCCAGTGGGATTACTTTGATGGTGATGACGAATTCACGGGCTTAAAGAGAAGAAAAAGGAGATATTAAATGTACAAACAATTTCAGTGAGTAAAGTCTACCACAGTCTACACAAATAATATTTCTCTCGCAGTAAAAGCGTTGAAAGC